ATGCAGGAGGAGTCAGAGAAGAGTATTGATATGAGAACCGAGGTAAGGTGACTAACATCACACTGTGCAAACCCTGTCTTTAATCATGCTTCCTATCTGCTGCCTGCTTTTTCTGTGTGTCAATTTTTAGAGAACCCTACAGTGTGGAAGCTCATCAGTGGCAATCAATGAATTGATCGCTGAATTCCTAGCCGATTGTGAATAGCAGCGAGGGTTGCTGACTCGTCCGGTCCCATCACTCTATCAGAAATGTCTGAATACCATCTTCTAGAGCTCGTGGACAGCTTGGCTGTGATTCACGCTTCTCATGTGACTGATCCTATTGTGTTGCGTGAGTAACGCTCGAACGGCAACTGAGTAACGTCTAGGTGTCGGTCTGATACATTCGCAGGTGTCATAATAAGTGAGAGCTTGCAAAAACAGTGTGCGCGGAATACCAAACACTTTCCGTGCTAAGACCCTCCGTCTCGTGACTGTGGGTCTGACTCAAACTGAGTCAAACACCGACAGTGAACGACACTTCATTTTATTCCTGGAATTCGCACAGCATTGTCCGGAATACGCACATGCTGAACATCCACAGACTTAGGACACCCTTGCTATTCATTGGAATACACAGTAGCCCATTCAGAAGAGGGAGGACAACGGTCCCGATTACGAAAGTAACATATGGATTCGGCGACCTAGAACGAGCCATTGCCAACGAGGTGCTGATCGACGTCGTGCATGCCGTAACAGTAGGAGAATTCATGGCATCCGGCTCCGTATCTATGGTCAAGGTTGAGGTAGGCAACCCACATGCAGTAGTATCTCCATCTATAGGTGTTGTAATCAGTCGTTGGTGAGATGTCTGGAGAGCCCGGCACCGCAGTAGCGCTTTTCGAGTCAACGGTTGCCGCAGTGCTCCTTGCTGTTGGAATCGACGAAGGGGTGAGAGGTGAAATGAAACGATTTTCCTTTCTGGTCAACAGACTGATCACATCAGTAATCGAAATAGAGTGAGGGTAACGAGCCAGTGTGAACTTTCCAGTTTGCCTGCCCGTTGAGATTGGATAAATACTAATCCCCACCAACTTCACAATAACCCAAGTAGAAACGTATAATAGTACAGCATGCATACATTACAGCTCATCACAACAAGGTACGGCACCTCGCTATCAACTACCTCGACATTGCGAGGAACCTAATGCTCGGCACATAGTCATAATGTTAGCTATCAGAGCTTCCAAATTAAATATCTGTTTATATCCTCGGTTAGGCCGAGGTTCGAACCTATGCAGGATTATCATCACAAGGACTGGGAGGATACACTAACCGCGCTGCCAGTGCTGCCAGCCTCGGCCAGCTATCCTCGGCATTTTCCAAAGTTGTCCCGAGAAGTACAAGCATATGATAGCATATCTCGCTTGGTGGTATGTGTACTTCCAATAGACCATAAAGTTTCTCCCTTATCGCCTAAACTCAATGATCATCATCCCAGCCTACATACCATAGAATGGGCACCCACCTTCAACTGCTTTGGAGTCTGCTCAGTCAAGATATCCTCCACAATATCCTCTACTACGACCTGCGTCTGACATTGCTATCTCGAGACCATGCAAGTATGATACCTTCCATGGCAGCCTAGCCAGAGGCGTATTAGCATTCCGTAATGCATGGCTACCACCATTCTGGGCACTGATAGCATCTAGCTGCATAAGACCGTAACGTAAATCTCCTCTCGATTCCGTAGCTAAGAATCAATCACCTACATCGCCATGAGCAGAGACCCACCAATAATAGTGGCTAGATGTGGATTCATTTCTACACCCATCTTAGCCTCTACCCTCTCCAGCTCAACCTTAACCACTTCTGTGGTAGGACGGGGCACTCTGATACTCATACACCGACTCCGCAAAGGAGGTATCAACGACGCCAAAGAGTCGGCATGGAAAAACACCTTCAGCACACCAACGTATCTAAGATGAGCTTGCAACTTTTCTCGGCAGCAGGCCAGTACTTCTCCATAGTTCGCCTCAGACCAGCCTGAGCTGATCGACTCAAGTTGTGCGCGTCATTGACAACAACCACTCTGAATGGCACGTCTCCTCCCAAAGGAGGTGCTTGTGCCATCTCCTTGATCAGCTAACACATGGCCAAGTGACTGTTACGATGATACGGCTAGTAGTAGTATACATGTTGTATGACAACTACATCCCTAGTACCAGCCTCAGTGGGCGTAACCTCCAGATGGTAGTTACTGTATAGGACCTATCGAGCCAAGGTAGACCGGCAACAAGGATGGCCGTCTAGCACCTGGACGTCCAACACCGGCCGGGATGACGAGGCATCTTTGATCGTTCTAAACTCATGCTTAACCTAAGTTACCAACCCTTCCCCCACTCTGCTCCTCTGCTACTACTACCACTACCTTCGTGACAGCCGGTCCAAATATCTCCCTCAACAAACACTGTATTCTGAACATCCGTATCACCATCATTACAATAGTATCATGCATAGTACCTGGTCATCTTTCCCCCTCCAGTCGGACCATAGAATAAGAGGTGTGGTAAGTCAGGGCGACGTGCCTGCAAAGCAATAGCGTCCAGTCTCCCTGGATATCCGTCGCTATTCCATCCGAATGCTCATACTCGTTACCAGTCCACGCAACTGTTGTGTAATGCTGTCGTGATAAGTGAGTTCGTCAAGAGTTGTTGGCCGCTCGCTGTCGATGAGGAACGCCATACCAACCGTAATAGGGAAAGGTAACGTAGGGATGCCTTAAGGAAAGGTGACCAAGTCAACGCAGTTAACAGCGCCCACTCCCAAACATGTTACTAACGTACACAAGCCCGCTGTTGTTAGACAAAAACGACCACCATTTCTTATTGATATTAATAATAAGATAAGACACAGAGCACTAGTGATAATGATTATGAACCTTGCAGTAGATGTATTTAGCCACGATGATAGACCCCCATGGAAGGCACACATATCTCTAGTCCTTGATCCATTCGTACTCACTCCTATCAGCCGCCGCGGACTGTAGACTGGCATC